CCACAACCACACACACAGAAAAAAATACAAAGAACAACAACAAAAATGAATCCCACTGCCATCAAGTGAATTCTGACTCCTAGTGACCATGTAGGACAGACTAAACTGTCCCATAGGGTTTCTGAGGCTGTAAATCTTTACAAAGATGAGCAAGCCGCCTCATCTTTCTCCCACAGAGCAGTTGGTGGGTTTGAACCATGGAGTTGAACTACTGACATTTCAATAGCAGTTCTGTGTGACCTATGAACTGAGAACTGACTGTCAAGGGGGTGTCAGACTTAATCCACTGAGCCACGTAGTCATGCTCAATAAATAGTTGCAGCCACTCCTTAGAAAACCCTATATAGGGTTGCTATGAGTCAAAATCGACTCAATGGCATGGAACAACAACAACAAAAATGACTGGAAGGATGAGTTGAAGTCATGAAAACATGAATAAAGAAGCTGCAGGCTGGAGGAGCCTGAAGCTGGTCACAGGAAATGGAGCTATTTTTCCTAGAGTGGTGTGGCACTGTGTGTTAATGTGCTAGACTTCAAGTTTGGTTTGAACCACCAGATAAGCAGTTCAAGCTCACCAGTCACTCCTTGGAAACCCTATACAGGATCGCTACAGTTCAGAACCGACTCCATGGCACTTAACAATAACAACAACCTTGTCTAAGCTAGGCACTGCTGATACCGATGATGTAGTAAATAACATGACTAGGCCTGGGAGGGTATGATGGAGCAAGGCTGACCACTAGCCTGCCCTGGGGATTCAGAGATGGTTCCTGTAAGAGCCGACACCTGAGTTGATTGTAGAGGCAGGCAGGCAGGCAGGCAAGAGTTAGTCGGGAGAAAATTCTGGGAAGTGAAGTCCAAGAGAAAGGGATGGGCCAGAGCAAATGCCCAGCCCAGCACTGTGAATGGCATGGGTGGTGCAGGAAACTTCCTGAGGCTGAGTGTTACTGGACTGCACAAAGCAAGGCAGAGGGTGACGGGAGTGGCAGCCAAGTCCCAGAAGACCTTGTAAGCTGTTCACGGGCTTGACCTTCCTCCTCTGGTGGTGGAAAGCAGCGGTGTGATGGGGTCAGATTTTCATTTATACAGATTATGTGGTAGCTCCATGGGGAACAAATCTAAGGCAGGGGTTTGCATACTATGCACATTAAAATCACCTGGGGAGTTTTAAGTGACGCTGAGCCCAGCTCCCACCCAAGACCAATTAACTAATTAAATAATAACCTCTGGGAAGGATGCCCAGGCACATTTTTTTATTATATGTACCGTAAACTTTTTAGTGATGTTATCATACATACAAAAATAAGTACACATCATAAGTTGGCAGTCAGTAAATTTTGATAAAGTGAATATACCCAGAATTTACATTAAGAAATACAACACCGTCAGCACCTAGAAAGGTCCTTCCTCACCGTCTTCAAGTATTATATCCCCTCCCACCCAAGTAAAAGGAACCATCTACTGACTTCTAACCCTATATGTTAATTTTTCTAGATGCAGAAATTTATATATATTGTTGCATGCTACTGGAGTTTATTCTCATTGCTATATGAATGTACCACAATGAACTGATCCATTCTACTGTTGATAGACTTTGGTAGAGTTTCCAGTTTGGGGCTATTAAGAATAGTGATATTTTTAGAGTCTTCTAAAGTGGTTGTAGGCACTCACTGTTTCTAAAAGTGCCCAGGTGATTCTAATATGCAGACAGGCCTATTCTAGACAGAAAGAACCCTGGCAGTGTAGTCGATTATGAGCTGGACTGCTTACCACAAGGTTAGCAGTTCGAATCTGCCAGCTGCTCCACAATAGAAAGCTGAGGCTTTCTACTCCTGTAAACATTTACAGCCTTGGAAACCCTGTACCCAGTTGCTATGAGTCAATACCAACAGCACACAACCTCTCTTGCCACCAGGGGAAACACGGAAGCCAGTTAGGGAGACAAGCTGTTACCCAGAGCCTGGGGAATTGCAAATGTTAGCCCAGAGTAGGATTTAGACCCAAAAGGGAGTGGGCAGCAATGGAGGAATGGTGGTGGTGACTCACAGCAATCCTGTATAGGGTTTCTGAGGCTGTAAGTCTTTATGGGAACAAAAAACCTCATCTTTCTCCTATGGAGTGCCTGGTAGATGCAAACTGCCAACCTTGTGGTTTGCAGCCCAACTGTACTTTGAGGGCTCCTTAAAGGAGGGATGTTGTTGTTGTTAATTTCCGTCGAGTCGATTCCGACCCATAGTGACCCTGTATAGGGTTTCCAAGGAGCATCTGGTGAGCTTGAACCACCGACCTTGCAGGTCAAACGACCTGCAGTCTGACACATTAGCTCACAGTGCCACACCAGGGCTCCTCAAGGAGGAATAGGCATAGGAAATAAGGAGCCACTCTTTATATGAAGGTGAGAAGGAAAAGGAAGAAGAATACACCCCTTGGTGCTGCTGGTGTTTATGCCTTAGGTTTAGCAAAGGTCTCAGGGGAAAGGGTCATGAGCTACTAACAGGAACAGGAAATGAAGCAGTGTAAAGTGTTTTTGTTGCCACAATAAGGTACCCCAAGACACATCAGCCAAAACCTGCAGCCACTATGTCATGGGACTCTAATTATAAGGCATGCTGTTCTTGTTAAGTGCTGTTGAGTTGGTTTCAACTCACAGCGACCCTGTATAGGGTTTCCTAAGAGTGACTGGTGAGGTTGAACTGCTGGCCTTGCAGTTCAAACCGACCTTGTAATTCAAACCAACCTTGCAGTCCAGCGCATTAGCCCTCAGTGCCACACTACATATGTGTGTTTATTGTGGTGGGAGAAGGGTAGCTGTGTATTGCTATGGCTAAGGGCACTAGGGAAGAATGTGGGAAACCTGAGTTCTAATACTGGCCCAGCCAAAAGCTGATTACATACCTAATCTCTCTGTATTCTGGTTACAGGGAGTACTGGCTAGATGACCTTTAAGATTCTTTCCAGCTCTAATGACCTATTATTTATTATATGTCACTCTAGGGGTGAACTTTCAGCAAGATATTCATTCTAACAAGTGGCATGATGCTAGTTTTGTACATGAGATAGTTTTAAATGAAAACATTGTACTATATAATTGTTGTTACTGTTGTTAAGTGCCATTGAGTTGGTTCCGACCCATAGCGACCCTGAACAGGGTTTCCAAGGCTGTAAATCTTTATGGGAACAGAAAACCTCATCTTTCTCCCACAGAGCAGCTGATAGTTTTGAACTGCTGACCTTGTGGTTCATCGTAGCCCGATTCGTAACCACTACGCTACCAGAGCTCCTTATATATACTACATAATTATTTCCCCAAATTATATAGCATGGATGATTTTAGTTTTGTTTGTCATTGTTGTCACTGTTTTTTAAATTCGGAGTATGAGTGGAAGAATAATGGCTGGGGAGTCAGGGACGGTGCTGTATTGCCACCAATGCGGTGCTTGGAGTGCTCTAGACCCTGCCCACTGACCTTTATGAAATAAAAGCTTCTCACCTGTGTGTATGGGAAGCCTCACCAAGCTTTTTGGAAGAGAAGGCCAGAACTGCATTGTTCATTCACACAGAAACAGACCCAAGGACCCTGTCAAGCCTGAATCATCATAAAGCCATTGAGCCCCAGAAGACTCTGGAAACATCTTGGTTTTATTCAGGCTGAATCCCACTCAGGGCAGGCAGGCTGAGAGGGGAAAAAGAAACACAAAGTGTTTCTAGCCCTTAGAATTTGTAACCTTCCCTAAGGCCTGGGAGGGGGGCAGAACCAGGACAGGAATAGATTACCTGCTCTTTGTGGGGTATTGAAAAGGAATGAAGACACATGACTAAGTATTGAAGGACAACTGGCCTGTGAAACAACATCTACCCAAGAAACATAACTGCCTTCAGCCATGACAGTGTACAAACTCTGATTAAAACAATTACTGTGGGGCTCGGGTGGGTGGGAGGAAACTAAAAGATGTTGTGACTGCAATTCCGAGTCCTGATCTAAAGGAGTATGATGAAAGTTTCAGGAGTGGGCAGATTTGTGATGTCAACATGAAGAAAACCAAAGTACAGGAAGGCTGAGTCTACAATTAAGTTGGCCAGAGATAAAGTCTGCTTACATGCTATTCTGAAAAAAAGAGGCTGCCAGAGAGGAGGAGGTGGTGTAGCCAAGGAGAGAGTCAATATTGTGAGTCAGCCGAGGAAGCTACTGGACGCATTGGATGGGCTGGCAGGTGTGGGAATATTTGCACAGTGGTGGTTGGCAGAGACAGCACGGGCCAGAAACTGCAATAAAAGGAGTCGAGTGTGGATTGTTTAGTCACCAGGGGAGAAATGAGAGAACATGCAGGCCAGTGGGGATTGGGTTACCCACTGAGCCAAGATCAAAAGATGTCTTTTGATTGGGAAGGCATTTCATTTGCTCTCTGCAAGAGGATACAGTTATCAAGGATACTAGGAATGTTCTGTGTGGAGAACAGTGAGTGGCCAGCGTGTGACATACAAGGTCAGCTGTCCCTGTGGTCCCTGGGCTGCATGTCTATACCATATGTTCCTCTCCTCCCCCATCACAAAGGACTATGAACTAGATGGCAGTCTGGGAAATGAGGCTGTGGCGGCACTTGTTGGTGTTTAAAAGAAATAATAGTTTGGAATAGCTGAGACTGGAGTGAGACATTTGTTGAATGCTGATTATGGTGCTGAGCACACTTATCATGATGCATTTTCTATGACTTCTATGTGAATCTCATTGTTTTGTAGCTGTTGATACAGATGGCCAGAGAGATCATTTGCCCAAGGTCATGTAGCAAGGGGTTGATATCTGCATCCAGCTTGCTTGATTACAAAGTTATACCCCCTGTAGCACCTAGGCAATGGCTGTAAGAATAGAATGCAAATATTCGCATATTTTTTGGAAATCATCTTTGGAGATAAAGAAGCTATGGTGGCTAGTAGGTTTGTTACAGTGGGAATCAGTCAACATCCAGGGGTTGCCTTTTGACAACAAGCCCTGGGTCACTTACCATGTTATTCCAGAGTGCGATGGCCATCTCAGCATGACCACGTTCTGAGAAGTAGAGACAGTTCTCAGAGAAGAAGGTGAGGTCATCACGGCCTCTCTGTGACCAAAGGCAAGAGGATCATTTCTTGGGAAGAGTGCCATCGTCCCCTCCTCCACACCCCACAGCAGGCACACACCCTTCCTTCACTCATTTAACTCTGCTGCCAGTGGCTCAGATACTGGTAAAGAAACTAAATGGATATGAATTTCCAGCTTTTCATTCTATCCCAATCCAGCAAATCCTATCCCTGGGGAGCTTGGTCCCTACTGATTATTTCCTTTTGCTCCAAGTACACCCAAGTTTCAATCATTAAAAAAAAAATTAAATAAATAAATAAAAAGCAGAAAGGCAGATAAAGCAACCCATTAGGAACCCTCTGAGAGAATCATGCTCAGAAAGAATCCACTTAGAGAAGAAAATCTCTCTCCTAAGATAAGGCCTCTACACACGAGCATCACTAGCATCCTAGCAACACCTGTAGCTTACGTTATTCAGTGGGATGAAAGTGTTTTGGAAGAAGGGTTGTACAACAACTGCAAAGTCTTCCCGCTGTGTGTAGTTGTGCTGGTAGGAGATCTTGGAGAGATCATTCTGAGAAAGGGGAGAGAGACTGATTAACCCTCCTAGCAAGGTTTAGACATTCTGTTCCTGCTGCTTTCGGTTGGTTGAGACAGGAGTCAAATCAAATCACCTTAGACAAAGGTCACTAAGAGGCTATATACAAACATCCCATTAGCCTTGCACCATTTGTGAGCACCTACATCCCGAGGCTCTATGAAGGACTCTCGGGATCAAAGATGAGTTGGAACCCCCGCTTGGAGAAGCTCACCATCTGGATGACCCTACTCAGTTCCATTTTGAAGCCTCCATAAGGTGGGTCTGAACCACTAACCAGACTGCCTGGGCCAAAGGCCTCGACTGTTCTCACTACAAGAGGAAAATTAGGGCACTTGACTCCAGATCAGGTCCAGCTCAAGTGTAGACTTTCAACATAAGCTCCCCCAAATACTTAGGAACTTTGTGGCATGAGTGTCTAGGGTCAGTGGATTTATTAAGTACCATAAGGTGGACTATAAAAGGGATAGACTAGATATAGTTATCATCAAGGTACTTAACTTTAACTGGGAAAGTGAGATCAGATGCGAAAACACCCGAGAGTCAGATGGGGTTTTATGGTCAGGAGAGTGCAGGCTGAATTTGACAGGAGGAGATATCTGAGGGTGAAGTTTACTCAAGGGAAGCTTCTTAGATGAGGTAACACACGCCCCGTGTATGAAGATGGAGACATTTTCAGAAAGGATCCGAATGGGAATGTTAAGAGAGAAGGAAGAGCTGGTGGTGAGAAAGTGTGGTACAGGAGCAGATAGGAAGAGGGTGGGTAGAAGGTAAAAAGACTTGGGGATGGAGGTCAGGTAGGTAAGTAGGATAAAGCTAAGCCTTATATGCTTAAGATATGAGGAAGTGCAGGGGTAGGAAGCAAAGAATGTAGCAAGGCGGTGAACACTACCCCTCCTCTCTTCTGGGTGATGGATGGCACTCGAGACCCACGGTTTTGGGTGGGAAGAGGACCCATCCCATGGAGGAGCATATTCTGGGAGGTGAGCCCTACTTACCTGTTCCAGGCTGACCCAGAGGCAAGAATTTTCTCAGTTTTCTCTTGGGTTTTCTTACTTCCCTCCCCCTAACCCTGGTATCTGGTTCACCCAGATAAATATTTCAGGGGTTGTGATCTGCCTTTAAGAGAGGCCCTTGCTCTCAGCAGGCCCTGGTTAATGCTCAGTTTCTGAGTTCTTGCTCTGAAAGTCAGGAGAAGCATCCAGCTGGGGCAGGTTGAGGATGAACTCAGGGACTCACCTGAAAATTCCAGTTCAGCTGCTTCAGTTTTTGCATATCTAGGGGCTTCTCCTGGGAGCCACTGAAGCACGTGCAGTTGCTCCTGTGAGGCAAAGAGTCTTAAGACAGAAGCTTCCCTTTGGAAAGCTGGCTCTGGCTCTGTCTGCCCAGGAGGCTGCTCTGACACACAGCGGATGCTGCTGCCCACAGGCATCCTGGACCCTGCACTGCTTCATGGAGGTGAAGAGGGTGACATGCAAGTACCTCCACAACACACCCTCAACTGACTTAGGTTGAGATCATATAGGACTGTAACTCAGGAGGGTTGAGGACTAGCAAGCAGAGAAGGTAGAAGAGTTGGCACTTGTCTCCTTTTGGAGAGGTTCCAGTCTCTGGTGGGAGAGGCTGCACATTCCTCTTGCCCCCCTCATTGTTCCTTGCCAAACCTACGGCTCCTGAGGTTTACCAAAGAAGTGGACATGTCTTTTGATACGGAATGATTCCTCATGAGCACCCAGCTGCTTAAACTTGTCCTTAGGGATCCAGACTAGAGAGTGTCTTAGGGAGCTGAGGGGGACCAAACAGCCTGAGGCACACTGACAAAGTGGAGTGTAATATTAACAGACCTTGGAGGAGTCACTGGGACCCCAGAGTCCATTGGTCACTCCCCCTGGGGGCCAGGTTCCAGCAAGAATGGGAATTAGTTGAGTGCCTTTCCAGAAAATTCATTTCACCTGAGAGAGGACTCCTCAGCCCCATGAAGAATCTCCTCCCCATACCAACAGTCACAAGAACTCTAGGGGCCTTTGGCCTCAGAAGATGACAACTTCCTGCCAGAGGACAGCTGAACTTTATTGAATTCCAGTTCCCAGTGGGAATGCTTGTCTTGTGCATAGGTACTTGCCTTCAAGCCAGACAGTCTCATCAAGCTACTATTAATATAAATAAAAGCTACTATTTACCAAGAGCTGGCTCCATACATGCCAGCTACTTTATATGCATTTTCTCTAGACCTCACAAGGAAAGTATTTTACAGGTGAGTAATTTGAGGCCCAAGGAGCTTTGGTAGCATAGTGGTTATGATTCGGGCTGCTAACCTCAAGGTCGGAAGTTTGAAACTATCAGCGGTTCCGCGGGAGAAAGATGAGACGTTCTGCTCCCGTAAAAAGTTACAGGCTCAGAGACCCTGTGTAGGGTCATTATGAGTCGGAACTGACTCCACGGTACTTAACAACAACAATTTGAGGCCCAGAGAGGTTAGATGGTTTGTCCAAGGTACCACAGCTTCTAATGGCAGAATCAAGACTTGAGACCAGAGGTAGATGTCTTGAAAGTTCATCGCCCTATGCTGCCTCCTAACACGAAGCAACTGGTCAAGGATGGACTTTGGAACCATAGACAATGTCAAGGGGTTATGGGTCACTTGGTCTGTCTCCCTCACTTTAAAGAAGACAGTGGCTTGCATACGGTTGTCACTCAATAATGCGAGGGATTTCCAGATGATCTTCCAAGTTCCTGACTAACTGCAATGCCAACTGCCTGACTTTGCCAGTATTAGTCTCACCTTGGCATCTGCAAGCCTGACTCCCCCCATAGGCTCTCCCCATGACCAGACAAAACACTTACTGAGCTGCCAGTGGCATGGTACATTTCCCGCTTTGACCCTGGTGCAAGCCAGCCAGCTCCATGACCTCTACCACATTGACAAAAGTCCTTGGAAGCTGCAGGGAGCAGAGGTGGGCTTCATTAGTCACTAGGCAGGGGGCACTGGGAGTGAGGGGGCACTGGTTATGATAGTTTCCTCAGTGAGGAAACTGAGGCCATGAGAGGGAATGTGACTTGAATGATCTCACGGAATCTTCTTCATTGTCCCTACCTTGCTCAAAGTCACATTGCTAGTAAGCTACTGGCTGCAAACCCAGGCCAATTGGCTCCAGGTACAAGTTCTTTGTCACTATACAACATGATCTCTGATCTTCAGCAGTGGAGCACATTGCTCCCTTCCTCCTGGATTGCCCAGGTGCATACTCATGGTGGGCCTTGGCTCAGTGTTTATCTTGTTGAACATGATTTGCATGGATGCACCCAGGGAAGGAACCCCCTCACACACTCAGCGAGCAGAAGACCTGCAGTATGCTGCAGTCAGGGGCTCAGGAAAGTGCAGTCACTACTTCCTACCTCTTTATAGAAGATGTCCAGGGTTTGTTGGAGGTACTGAACATACGCCTGGGCTGAGTGGGCCTCCTGTAAAAAAAATAAGTGGTTTCACTCTGAAGAGATGAAAAGGACAGTGCCCTAGGGGCCTGGGCTACTGGCAGAGTGGGTACAGAGGGACTTCTTTGGCACTGGCCAGGTTGGGAAGCCCAGCCATTGTTGCCAATTAGACTCATAAAGAGTTGCCCCTTGACCCCTACGGGACAATCCCAACCTTCACCCTGCTGCACATTATCTTGAGCCCAAAGGCAGACTCTCTGACAATGTTAGGCCCTGCCAGTTCTACAGTGCAACTCTCAGAATTCCCATTTCATCTTCACCTCAGCCTTCTTCAACTGGGTGTGTCCCCGAGGACCACACACCCTCTTTCCTCTGCGCTTTGTTGGGTCATGCGGTCCCACTGCCTGGAACCCTTTGCTCTCCACCTACCCCTAATAGCTGCTATCCCTTGTGATTCAGCTTCAGGGTCTCTTCCCCATCTCCCTACTGGAGTCTCATTTACATGTACCTTCACAGCATCCTGGGTGCTGTGTAGGTACATAGCAGGTGCTCAGAAAGTGCTTGCTAAGTAATCTCAGTCATGACTTTCTTTGGAATATGAGGAAGACAGTCACATGGTTTTGGATATAGTCCTGGACTCCTTAGTAGGTGTCAGAAGGAAACTGATATGGGAAAGTTAGTGAAGACTTGAGGTTCTTGTATGCAAATGGAAGAATACAAGTCTGTGGGAGGTGGGAGTAGAGGAATAGGCAAGAGCTCAGGTGGTCCATTACTTTCTCTTAAGACAAATTTCTGAGGTGAGGCTGTATGCTTCAGGACATAGAAAAAGTACTCCATGGACACCTATTCACTGCCGAGGTACTTGTCTTCAGTCACCAAAGGGGTGTTGGGTATTCAGAGGTGAGGGAGCAATGGGTGAGAAGACAAGTCTTGCTAAGGAATTCAGAGAGGCTCCCTGGAGGAGAGGGACCTTGTGTCTCCATCCATTTTTACCCCTCTTTCTTGCCAGGGTCATTGCCTGGGAACCAGCTTTATAATCCTTCTTAGCCCTAGGTGTGAAGGGTGTGGATGTATCAGTTGCAGGTGGAGAATAAGCAGGGAAACATTGGATGGAAGACAGTGGTGTTCTCTCATAGACAGATGTAAAGATTTTATAGACTCATTTGAAACAACAACTCCCCAGTGTGGAAACTCCATGACTCCAAGCAGTTGCAGATCCAACCGGGTTAGCACGTTATCTGATGTCAGGCCCGAGTCCAGCTAATGTATGTGATCTCTCCCTCAACTTGTCTTCTAGAGAACAGCTAACTAAACACCTGATTCCCCCCACACCCATTCTGCCTTGTGTGGGTCCAATCAAGGGGGAGGAGGGATCCCAGGAGATACACATTAAGCTTGAAGACCCTTTGAAGTCTAAGCCGTGGCTCCAGTCTGGGTTTACATAGCATGATGGGCATGAACTCTTCTCAAACTTGGCTGGGTTTATCCTGGTTGTGGCCTTTAGGCATTTCCCTGCTAAAGAGATGCTCTCGGGAGTATAAACCTACTAGCCTGAGGACATGTATTTGTGCACTACTCTTCTCACCTGCCAGGAAATTAGCCCTGATTTATGGTGGCCCCAAGTACAACACTGGCTAGTCCTATGCCATCCTCATGACTGCCAGCATGCTTGAGTCCAGTGTTGCCTTCTGCCCTAGGGATTCATCTTCCAGCATTACAGTGAGCATTGTTCTGCTGTGCTCTGTAGGGTTTTTATTGGCAAATTTTCAGAAGCAGATTTCCAGGTCTTTCTTTCTAGTCTTTTAGTCTGAATGCTTCTTTGAAAACTGTCTACCATGAGTGACCTTACTGGTATTTGATATACCAGCGGCATAGCCTCTAGCCTCACAGAAACAGGGCAAACTGACAGATGGGTGGTGAATTTGGGGGCTAGTAGAGGACGGCTCCTTAAATGAAGTATCCCACAGGTAGCTTGAGCATCACTTTTGGATTTCAGGCTCTCCTGGAACCCAAGACACAATGATGTCTAAATCCCTATGGGCAGTCAAGGAGGGAACCCAGGGTAAGAGGCTTGCAAGAGCTAGACCTGTGTGTGACAGGATATTTCTCATGAAGCTGTTGGGACTTGGCCTCCTCAAGCCACAAGGAGGGATCAACGCCTTTCCTGCCCGCCTGGACTGCCAAACAGTTCACTGAAAACTTGAGTCAGGACAGCTGCCTAAAAAAGGCCAAATAAACAACAGGCAGTCCCCAACTTAGTACAAGATGTATTCCTAAAGTTACGACTTCCAACAGTTTGTTAAGTGTGGGTCTGTTTCACCATAGAAACAACATTCAGAATGGGATTGGTTTCCTAGGCCAGACCACTAAAGTTGGTTAATTTGTGATGTCCCTGAGGGGCAACACTGTCAGGACTGGTTCAACTTTATCCATCCTCTGTTTATACCATAGTTTTGATCTCCTCCTCCTCGCTGCCTAAACAACAAAACTAAAGAGGAGTAGGGGAACTGAAGAAAGAGCACAGTCTCTCTCCCAGGGGCCACTCAGGCCATGGGAAAGGCCAGGCCTTACCTGGCATTTGTGAGCCAGGGGTCACCTGGTGAGGCTCAGGTGTCTGAAGATTAGGCAAGGGTGATTCCCATGAGAGTATTGTGGGAAGGGCCTGGACCCTGAGCAAGGATAGTGACAGAAGTGAAGCAGCTCCGCTCCTCAGATCCCTGATAGGGTTAACTTGAGCATACCGGATTCTCGCAGTAATAGCACAAGTCGTTGCCCCCAATGAAGAGTGTGATCAACTTCCAGTCTTTCTCCAGGTTGATTTCCTGATGGGACAGAAGATCCCAAGTTTAGGCCTTGGAAGAGTCACATGCAGGTAATGCTCACCATGCCAGACACCCTCCCCGCCCCCCACCCCCACACACCTCCTGAGTCCTTTGATTTTCCTTAGGTCACAGAGGAAAGAAGACACGACATGAGGCCTTCCCAACCCCACCTTGGCGCCTGGAGAAAGAGCTCCACAGAGAAAACTGTGTATATGCATGTGTGTGAGTGTCTTGTGTATGTGTGTGCATGTGTACATGTAAGTGTGTCTGCTCACACCATGATAAAGGGCTCTTTTCCCTTTGAAATAATCTTCAGAAAGCTGGAGTCCATGATGAGATAGAGAGTGCATGTGTTCCACACTTTCTTGAGCCCATGAAAGGATAAGTGGATTAACACACCCCTGAAATATGATCTCCAGGCTCTGAAAGGAGCCAGGGGCAAAAAATGTCTCTAGAAGCAAAAGCAGCAATACATCAACAGGAAGCTGCCAGAAATTCAAGCCCAATTCAGCTGAGGACATGGAACTAGGAATGCCATTGCTGATGTCAGATGGATCTTGATTGAAAGCAGAGAATACCAGAAAGATGTTTGTTATGCAACAGTGTGGATCATAACAAACTATGGATAACATTGTGAAAAGGGAATTCCAGAACACTTAATTGTGTTCATGAGGAATCTGAACATAGACAAAAAGGTAGTCATTTGAGCAAAACAAGGTGATATTGCATGGCTTAAAATCAGGAAAGGTGTGTGTCAGGGTTGTATCTTTTCACCATACTTATTCAACCTGTATGCTAAGCAAATCATCTGAGAAGTTGGACTATATGGAGAAGAACATGGCATCAGAATTGTTTTTGTTAAATGCCATTGAGTTGGTTCTGACCCATAGCAACTCTGTATAGGGTTTCTAAGGAGCGAGTGGTGAGCTTGAACCACCGACCCTGTGGTTCAAACTGACATTGCAATCCAGCACATTAACCCACAGTGCCACACCAGGATACAACCTTGCTTGCTGAAAGTGAAGAGGTCTTGAAACACTAATGATGATCAAAAAAGACTTAATAATGAAGATCAAAAGCCTGTACTATGGATTGTACTTCAACATAAAATTTAAATTCTCACAACTGGCCCAATAAGCAACATTATGATAAATGAAGAAAAGACTGAAGTTGTCAAGGATATCATTTTACTTGGATCCATAATTGATGTCCATGGAAGCAGCAGTCAAGAAATCAAATGCCATATTGCAGTAGGAAAGTCTGCTGCAATAGACTTCTTTAAATGGTTAAAAAGCCAGGATTTCACTTTGAGGACTAAGGTGTGCCTGACCCAAACCATGGCAGCTTTAATCACCTCATATGCATTTGGAAGATGAACAACAAATAAGGAAGAGATTTGAATTAGGGGGTAGGCAAAGAATATTAAATATTCCGTGACTGCCAGACAAAGGTACAAATCTCTCTTGGAAGAAGAATGCTCCTTAGAAGGGAGAATGGCAGCACTTTGTCTCACGTACATTAGACATGCTATCAGGAAGGATCAGTCCCTGGAGATGAACGTATGGATTAGTACAGTAGAGGGTCAGCCAAAAAAAGAAGACTGTCAACAAGATGGATTTACACAGTGGTTACAACAATGGGATCACACACGGGCCAACGACTGTGAGAATGGTGCAGGACTAGGCAGTGTTTCATTCTATTGCGCATAGGGTCTCCATGAGTTGGAGCTGACTCAATGGCACCTAACAACAAGAAGAAGCAAAAGCCCAGAGCTGCTGCTTGGAAAGTTCTTTGGGTTTGGGTCCAGGGAGGAGGAAACAAAGGGAGAATTGTGTATAGTCTGAGAGGTGCTAGGGAGGGTGTTCCAGAAGTCTGGTCAAGCAGAGAGCCTGCTTTCCTTCCAGTCACCACCATAATAGGAGTCCTGCCAGGAGTGGAATTCCAAGGCATAAACACAGAGCATTAACAAAAAGTGCTGGTGAGAAGTTTCAAGGGGCTGAGCAGGAAGAAGGAAGGATTGGAATGAGCAGCCTGTTTTTAGAAACCAGCGTTTACATAATAGGGCCCCATGGCTAGCCAACACTTGGGTAAAATGAGAAGCTGCCAGAGGCTCAGGCCACAATCTCTGTCAACTCAGCTGCATATCTCCCCATCACAACCAGCCTTTGGCGTGGTGGTGGGGAACCTGGGTCAGGGAGGGCAGGAGCCTGTGAGAAAGGCCAGCATTTCCAGAGTGCAGTTTAGTTCTTGGTGAAGTCAAGCTTAGAACAGGAGTTGCTGTGGTAGAGAGGACTCTTTTAGGGCTGTGACACCCTTCCCAGTCACTGGAGACCCTCAGCTTATTATAGGGATGGCTTGGTGCCCCATACTCACTGGATTCTTCCTCATTCGATTCACCAACTCCTGGGCCTGGGCCGGCATGTCTCTAGGCAGGAGGAAGAGAAGAGGAGGTTAGAGATGGCTGAGGATAAGGGCTCATGCTGTGGGGTTTTGACTTGGAAAGAGAGGTGTTTCTGGTAGTGAACAGTAGGGGTATGGGAGCTAGGTCATGTTAAGGATGTATGGTAAGGTTTTTGATTCTCAAGAAATCTCAACCTTGGCGTCACATTCATGTAGCCCCTGTCCACATGCTCTCCTCTACCCAAACCACCTGTTCTACTGGGGCACCCGGTCTCGGTCCTCTTTGGCTATTTGGGTTGGGATCTAGACAGCCTTGCCATCAGAAAATTTCCCTATGTTCTATCAAACGCTTGCACTGCAAGTTGAACCTGTTCATTTCTTATTCTGTTGCCTATTTAAAAAATAACCTTTTGTATGTTTGAAAAAGTCACAACCTCAAATTATCCCTCAGCACTCCCTTTCAGGCTTAATGACTATTTTAACCTTTACTTCTGGGCCCCACTCTCTTGTTCCTTAAATCCTTAAATAGTAGTAGTATTCCAATGACGTCGACAATCTCCATCCAGAACATCGAATGACACCATTTTACTTATGTTGACACCTGGGGAATAAAGGGAGACGTTTGATGTTAACTGCTATTAAGTTGGCCCCCAACTGATTCTCTGTAGTTACTTCAGCTTTCCCCACAATTCTCTGATTGCTTCACTTTTTTCCCCTCCTGTCTTTCCAACAAAACAGGATGGGAAAGATAAATATGGACAGGGTTAGTTCAGTGGTAGAATTCTTGATTTCCTTGTATAAGGCCTGGGTTCAATTCCCAGCTAATGCTTCTCACCTGTAGCTACTGTCTGTCTCTCAGGGGGGGACTGACTCCATGTTGTAGCTTACAGTGGTCTAAGAAGAAAGACTAGTGGATCGACCTTTAGTGGGGTTTTAATACCTGGTTTCATGATAACCAGGCAATAGAGAACCCCTATGGATTGCAACAGTCTGATCCACAACCAAATGAGGCTGGCACAAGAGTGGGCAGCATTTCACTCGGTTGTGTCTGGAGTCACTATGAGTGGAGGGCCAACTTAAATGGAAGTTAACAGCAATGTTCTCCTTTCATTCCCCAGGCATCTATCATAAGTAAAATGGTGCCACTTGGTGATCTGGATAGAGCTATTGTATGTCAATGGAATACTACTACCATCATCACTCAAGAAGAACAAACTGTTAATACACACAACCAGATAGATAAAATTCCAAGCTTTTCTAGGGGAAAGAAGCCAGACAAACAGAGTGAATATTCTATGGCTTCATTTATATATCATTCTGGAAAATGTAAAAAATCTGTAGTGATAGAAAACAGGTCAGTAGTTGTCTAGGGCTCGGAGTTGTTGGATGGGTGAGACAGGGATAGGAGAAGGCAGGAAAGAGGGTGAAAAAGAGCCATGAGGAAACTTTCATATTATATAGTATACATTTGTTTGTTGTTGTTGTTGAGTGCCATCGAGTCTGTTCTGACACATAGCAACCCTGTATAGGGTTTCCGAGGAGCAGCTGGTGAGCTTGAACCATCGACCTTGCAGTTCAAATGGCTTTGCAGTCTGGCGCATTAACCCACAGTGCCACAGCAGGACTCCATTATACACTTGGGAAACCATGACTAAAATCAAAATCATAAACATATCCATCATGCTTAGTATCTTGACTTTAGTAATGGTTTCCCAAGTGTAAGTGTAAAATACATAAACACTTACCAAGTTGCACAATTTTAATTTGAACAGTTATTGTATGCAAATTATATGTCAAAAAGCTGTTTGTCCCCATTGAATAGTTTTCATCTTGCCTAGATGGCGCTGGTGAAAAGAGATGCGGATAAGGTTCTTATGATTCAATAGTGAGTAATTGTTATCATGACTAATTGTGACTGTCACAACTGTAAAGGTAGAAGTTTTGTAACAAAAAGCAGGGAATAGTTAATCTTACAGTCCAGGAACAGATGACTCTAGGACCATCAAAGCAGAAGAGCACAAGCAGAATGTGGGACCCTATCCAGAGAAGCAGCGACACCAGAGATGGAGGCAGAAATGATGACATGGAGAGAGGGAGCAGCTGAGGACTCTAGAGTCATGGAAAGAGAAGGGCTGTATGCTGGCAGCCAGGAGGCAGGCCTTCAGAATGTGCCTTTTGGTTGTTTAAATGTTTATATATTCCTGAGTGTTTCTGTGTACATTCCCTCCCCCCCGCCCCCAAAATCAGAGAGAATATAATCAAATATTGTTGGATCATGATGCACTGAGGAGATTGTAATCATTGCAATGAAACAATGAATGTAAAACTGATGTTTTCCCATGTTAACGATCACTCAATTCACAATAAAAACTTAAAAAAACAAAAACAATGAAATACTACTTCAAACTAAAAAACCCCACAAAAAACAAAAGCTGTTTGTTTGTGTTTTAAAAAAGAAATGTACATCAGAAATTATATCAGCAAAGGGGATACAGCCAATGGAAGCTGCTATAGAAGTCATAGATGGAGCAGTAGGTGAATGATGGGCATTTTACATCTTGGCATGGCCACAATGAGCTGGGCACACAGCCAAGCACACAGGGTACCATCCTAGCTCTTGCTTCCCATTAAGAAAGAGTTGTTCATTCACTCCCATGGCTTAATTTTCAGCCAAGCAAGAGATTAGCATGTAAGTGTGTGTGTATGACAATACATTAGTGAGGTCCACTTACCATAGGATGGTCAACCATTCAAGATCAAAAGGGCAGCATATACCCAAGGACAAAGTTCAGAAGGCTTAAGAAAGAAGGAGTGGAGACAAGGAACACAAGGAGGAAGTGGGATAAGTGACATCACATGGAGGGGATTGCAATCATTGAGATGAAACCAATTGTATGATTTGTTGAATATTAAATTGGTGATCTGCTCTGTAAACCTTCACTCAATTCACAATAAAAAGTTTAAAAAAAATAAAGAAAAATAATACATATAGGATTGTATTTCATACACTATTGTTATTGCTGGTTATACCAGAAAACGCCAAAGAAAGCCTGCCCTAAATTAAGGTGGCCAAGGAAGTACCGATAGCTTTTTAATAAGGTTTCAAGACATGATCAGGGGGTTTACGGGTGATGAGCCCTCATGAGTCCTCAGGGGATTTAAGAATGCTTTCTTCCTACCCTCTTCCTAGTAAAGTTCTTTTCTCATCCTTCAGGCTCTGATCAAATCCTGGTTCCTTTGTGAGCCCTTCTCTGCTAGCTTATTCATCCATGCCTCCTGTGTTTCCTTCTCCTTTACTCCTGGTGGGAAGAGCCCTAAATAGGCTCACAGCACCCAGCCTCTACATTCACCGCTAAGTTGCTGTGTGGGCTTCTATAGCCACTGCATCCTGCCAGGTCTGAATCTTTCTGTCTTTTATAGGAAAACACTTAGACTAGATGATCTGAAGTCATTTCCAGGTCTGCATTTTATTTAAAATGCCCAGTTCACACATTACACTTTTCTGTTCTCTTAATTGTACTTGATGACTGTTGCCATATACTATGCTGACTTTTCCCAAAAGATATTTCCTATTTGTTGTGTCTCCTTAATTAGATTGCAAGCTTTTTGTGGTCAGGGAGTTCACCTTTTGATTCCTTTGTACTTTTTAGAAACCACCATGAGATTAATTCTTTGGTGTTCAGTAAGTTTTTGTTTATTGATTGGTCAAGAACAATTAAATGTTGATAATTAAGAGTATATACAAAAATCCAACATCCTACATTACCCTCAATGTAGAGAAACTGAAAGCATTCCCTTTGCTAAAAGGAACCAGACAAGGATGTTCTTTATCACCACTCCTATTCAATATTGTGCTGGAAGTCTTAGAGCTATAAGGCAAGAAAGGGAACTCAAAGGCATCCAAATTGGCAAAGAAGTAAAACTCTCTCTATTTGCAGGTGATGTGATCCTGTATATAGAAAATCCCAAAGATTTTTAGAAAATTATTAGAAAGATTCAGCAAAGTGGCAGGGCACAATATCAACATACAAAAATCAGTTGGATTCCTATACACTAATGAAGACAACCCTGAAAAGGAAATTAGGAAAACAATGTCATTTACAAGTCCACTTAAAAGATGAAATACTTAGGAATAAGTCAAACCAGAGAAACAAAAGATCTATGCAAAGAAAACAACAAAACACTACAAAAAAATAAAAGAGGGACTTACAAAAATGAATAATATGCCAGGCTCTTGGATAGGAAGGCTTAACACTGAAAATGTCAACACTACTCAAAGCAATCTATAGATATAATGCAAT